CTAGAACAGTCGAAGGCAATCGTAAACAAATGTGTTTTTAGTCTTGATTTAAAGGAACTCAGGCTTTCCGCACAGTTTTCTGGAAGTTTGTTCCAGATAAGTGGAGCATAGGAACTAAATGCTGCTTCTCCATGTTTAGTTCTGGTTCTAGGTCTGCAGAGCAGGCTGGAGCCAGAAGACCTGAGTGGTCTGGAGGGTTGATACACTGATAGCAAGTCTGGGATGTATTTAGCTGCTAAGCCCTGTAGCCTTGTAGCAACAAGGTTCTAAGTTCGATTCCCGGCCAGAGGTTTGCTCCTAAACATTACCATTAGGTTAACTAGGATTTCTAACTTCTCCTCAGGTGTGAGTGTTTGTGTGCACGGTTGAACGTCTTTGTGTGTCTCTGTGTTTCCCCGCGACCTGCCCAGGGTTAACCCCGCCTCTCTCCCGTAGACTACTGGAGATAAGCGCCACCGCCACCCTGACGGAATAAGTAGGAGAAGATGGACGGAGGTTTGAAGCCTGAAATGTGGCAAAAAGTTGAAAAGTTCAAGGAGGCTGAAAACTTTCACTAAGGCGCTCTATGATGTAATGATTTGTTTGTATAAAGTTATTTTTTAACTGGTATTCTGGGCCGAGTACGATTAGGATTTCTGTCATAATCTGTTGTCATGTTTCATAGTAATTTAATACATAAACATTATAAAGTGTTCTTTAGAGCGTTTGTTCAGAGGGAGCTCTTCTCAGGAGAGAAAGCTTTACGACGTAAACACAGATGTTCTCCTGGGTTCAGTCTATCTCTGGCTTTGTTCATATAAATGCTGTTGGATTCTCGTCTAAAGATAAAAACATCTTTCCCTGAAATTCCCCCACAGTCAGATAGATTTGCATATTAAACGTGTTTGTGAGTAAATGTTGAGCTCCAGGCTCTTCATTTAGTCTGCAGAACTCATCAGGGGCCAGCAGAGGAATCCAAGAGCTTATTAAGAGGGAAACTTGGATTTTAGCATTTAAAACCACAAATACATTATGTGACAAACACTGAAGAATAATGAGGAAGAAATTAGACAAAATAAACTGGTTAAAAAGATAAATCCTTTATTTTTTTATTCAGTTAAAACCGTGTACTAATAATTGTTGATGTAAAAATCTAATTATAAAATGGGAGGTTGGAGGTAGAATTTTATTGATGTTCCAGATGTTCCACATGTGGAATATTTCTCACCTCTGAAAGGTGTAAAGTTTTGCAGTACCAGATATGTCCAGCAGATGTCAGACTTTAACCATTTTACAATAATCTGATTTAAATGTTTTGTTTCTCTTTTGCTTGAAGGAATGACTGAGTCATCAAATCTGGAGCAGCTCGCAGAAATAGGTGAGTAAAGTCACCAGGGGCGGATCTAGGGCACCAGGGGCCCTGAGGGTGAAGATGAGACTGAAGACTTTCTGGTTAATCCCGTTCTAATCTAAAATATGACAGATTACTGGATTAAATGCATTTCTAGTATAGATTATATCCTCCTCCATAACATGGGGAGAAATGAATTCACCTGCAAGTCTTTAACTGTGTTTATTCCAGGGGTGGAAAGGAACGAATTACATTTACTCAAGTTACTGTAATCGAGTACTTTTTATGAGTAATTTGTCATTTTCTGAGTAGTTTTTGAAATATGTATTTTTTACTTTTACTTTTTTTCTTTTAGTTTTACTTCGCTACATTTAAAACCCCCCTCACGTTACTGAGTTAAAAAATAAATAAATACTGATGATGAAAAAATTAAATGCAGCCGGAAATGTGAACCTCTGCGTCACGGAACCGAAACTTAATCGCCATTAAAAAATAGAAGAAGACTTTTGACCTTTAACAGCACTTTATTTACACAATTCAAACATATAAGCAATTGATTTAAAAACAAGTGACAGTTAAAAATCACTATTAGAGTAAAACTAGTGTCAGTTAAAACCATTAAATGAGGAGCTTGTTAATAACAGCGGCATCCTGATGCGTTTTAGTTTGATTTCTGGGATCTTTTGGGCTTTTAGTTTTTTTTGCATTTTGAAAACTTTAAAACGTAGTTTAAATTTCTTTATTCCTATCATGGTGTCTGTTGGACAGTAGGATTGAAAGTAGTTTGCACTTTATGGTTCAGGTTGTGACTGTCCTTCTGCTGTGAGGAAGTTTGTTCTTTAGCCCAGCTGATCGTTTGCAGTGTGGATGTCACTGAAATACGCCTTGAAATCCATTAAAACACCTTGTGCTCAATTCCATTCATGACTCATCCTTTTTTTGCATTAAATAACTCAAAGTAACTAAGTAACTTTTACTCAAATTACATTTTAAATGAAGTAATTTTGTACTTTTACTTGAGTAAATTTTGAGATGGGTAATTTTACTTTTACTCTGAGTAGAATTTAGGCAAAGTAAAGATATTTTTACTCAATTACAATATTTTAGTACTCTTTTCCACCATTTTAGCCACCGGATATAATCGGTCTCCCCATCATATGGGAAAAAATAAAGAAAATTGAATTTTGAAACAGTTTTTTTCTATATTATGTTTGAAACATTTATTTATTTTTTTTAACATATTGAAATCCAAAATAATAAAAATAAATATGACTGTTGGTTTGATCTTTATGAGATTTCAATTCTCAACTTTTTTTGTATTATTATTTCAGGCAGCGGAAATATCCATTCTCTCCTCCTCCTAAATCTTTGGGAAATAAAGAGAAACTGTTTCCAAATACTCAAAAACTGTTATGTGTGATATCCTGCCGTATACTAGAAATATCCTTAATCCAGTAATCTGTGATAGATTAGAACAGGATTTACCAGAAAGTCTACACTCTCATCTTTTCAGGAACGACTCCTTCAACAAATTTCCAGAAGTGTCTCCAAATGTTTTAGATTAATTCGCTTTTCCCTTTTTTGGAAATATGTTATGCGTTCCAGAGGTAAAGTCTTCAACATTTGCCTGATCCATTGTTTGATACCTGCTCCTTTTTAAAGTATATAAGTCTTTTAGCTTGTAGTAGACAAGCTTCAATAAATAATTGTTCACATTTGATAAACGTCTTTTTTGGATACAATCTTAAAATTGGGAAAACCAGATCTAGTGCAATATCCTTTGAGACGGTATATATTTTTTTTTATTGCTTTCCAAAAGTTTTGAATTTCCCTGCATTCCCAGATCCAATGAAACAAAACTTAACATTTTGTGCATATATCTGCTTTATTAGGATTGTTGTAGTGATTTAAATTGACTTGTGTTATGTAGATTTATAATAATCATTTGTATTGCAGTAACCTTAGAGTTGTAGGCAAATCATATTTATAATAACAAATCATTTCGGCTTAAACATTTATATGAATTTACTCTTTATTATACTATATTGTCCCAAAAGTTAGAAAATTTCTATAAAAAAAAAAAAATCCTGTCTTAAATCTGTGTTTTTCCGTTATCTTCTGCAGGCCAGTTAGTTCTACGTCAGCCTGAACAC